TCAAAAGCCTAAAAAAGACCCAGGCAGAAATGAAGGTTACACTAAGTGAAATAAAGAAAAATTTACATGGAATCAATAGCAGAGTGGATGAAACTGAGAATCAAGTCAATGATTTTGCACATGGGGAAGAAAAAAACATTCAAGCAGAACAGCAAGATGAAAAAGGAATCCCAAAACAAAGATAGTATAAGGAGCCTCTGGGAAAACTTAAAATGTACGAACATTCAAAGCATAAGAATGCTGGAAAGAGAAAAGAAAGAGCAAGAAATTGGAAACTTATTTGAAAAAATAATGAAAGAAAACTTCCCTAATTTGGGGAAGGAAATAGACATACAAGTCCGGGAAGCAGAGAATCCCAAACAAGATGGACAGAAAGAGGACCATACCAGAACACATCATAATTAAAATGCCAAAGGCATTTTAAAGATAAAGAGAGAATTTTAAAAGCAGCAAGAGAAAAACAGTTAGTTACATACAGGGGAGTTCCCATAAGGCTTACAGCTGATTTCTCGAAAGGAACTTCGCAGGCAAGAAGGATGGCAAGAGGTATTCAAAGTCATGAAAAGCAGCGACCTACAGCCAAGATTGCTCTATCCAGCAAAGCTATCATTTAGAATGGAAGGGCAGATAAAGTGCTTTCCAGACAAGGTAAAGCTAAAGGGGTTCATCATCACCAAGACATTACTATATGAAATGTTAAGGGGACTTATTTAAGAAAAAGAAGATCAAAACTATGAACATTAAAATGGCAATAAATTCACAACTATCGACCACTGAATCTAAAAAACAAACTAAGCAAACAAGCAGAACAGAAACAGAATCATAGGTATGAAGATCATTTGGAGGGTTATCAGCTGGGAGTGGGAAGAGGGAGAATGGGGGAAAATGTGCAGGGATTAAGCAGCACAAATTCGTAGGTATAGAATAGACAGGGGGATGTTAAGAACAGTTTAGGAAATGGAGAAGCCAAAGAACTTTGTGTGTATGACCCATGGACATGAACTGGGGGGCTGACTGCTGGAGGGAATGGGGATGCTGGATGGAGAGGAGCAAAGGGGGGAAAACTGGGACAACCGTAATAGCATAATCAATAAAATATGTTAAAAAGATACAAATCATTAAAATCAGGAATGAACAGGGAATACTGCTAGAGATACTGCAGCCCTTAAAATGAGAACAAGGGCATAGTCTGAAAAACTGTATTCATAAGTTTGATATCTGAAAAATGGGCAGGCCAGTTTCTCAAAACCCACCATTATCAAAATTCAATAAAGATGAAATAGACAACATGAAAAATCTTTAATGATTAAAAAAATTAAATTTTGGCTTTGGGTAGCTCAGTTGGTTAGAGTGTCATCCTGATACGCCAAGGTTGCAGGTTTGATGGCCAGTCAGGGCACATATAAGAATCAAGCAATGAGTGCATAGATAGTGGAACAACAAATCAATCAATCAATCAATCTCTCTCTGAAATCAATAAATTTTTAAAAAGGTAAAAGAAATTAAATTTTGCAACCCTCCCCCAACCCCCCGGCATCTGGACTAGCATCTCTAACAAACTTAGATACAAAATCCTCAAGAAAGTATTAGCAAATCTAATCCAGCGACGTACAAAAAACGGCACACTATAACCAAGTGGGGTTTACTGCACGTATGCAAGGCTAGATCATGTGCAGTTTACTGCAGGTGTGTTAGTCTGGTTCAACATTCAAAAATCAATTATTGCAATCCACCATGTCCATGGGCTAAAGAAGAAACCAAAAGTCATGTGATCACATCAACTGACACATAAAACCATTCGACAAACTCCAATACTCCTTTGTGATAAAAACTGTCATTAAACTAGAAATAAGGAGCAGCTTCTTGAACTTGGCAATAAAGATCTACGGAGCACCACAGCCAGCGCCGTGTGTGACAACCGGAGCCGGAGCCTGCCCTCAGGCAGGGCACAGGCAGGGGTCGCTCTCGCCGCCGCCCCTCAGCACAGGGCTGAAGTCCTGGCCATTCGGTGGGACACGCTGAAGAAGGAAGGCATAAAGATGGAAAAGGAAGAAATAAGAGGGTTCCTCTTCACAGACACACATGATTGACTATGTGGAAAACACCACACAATCAATCTACAGTAACAACTGAGTTTACCAAGGGTGCAGAATAGAAAATCGACCCCCGAAAATAAGTCACATTTCAATACACTAACAATGAACACATGCAACCTGGAACTGAAACACACAGTCCACTTACCATTACATTACTACTCACAGTCATTCTAAACAAATTGAAATTCTTAGGTATAAACTTAAAACATGTACAAGATCTACATGCTAAAACCTATAAAATGCTAACGAAAGAAAGAAAATGGGACCTAAATAAATGGAAAAACCACCCTGACCGATGCAGCTCAGTTGGTTGGGCATCGTCCGGCAAATGAAAAGGTCGCTGGTTTGGTTCCCAGCCAGGGCACACGCCCAGGCTGTGGGCCAGGTCCCCAGGTGGGAGTGTGCGAGAGGCAACCAATAGTCTCTGTCACGTGGAAATTTCTCACCTTCTCTTTCTCCCTCCCTTTACCTCTCTCTAAAAATAAATAAATATATAATCTTTAAAAAATAAGTGTAAAAACACACAAAATTCACGTGGAAAGGAAAAGCCACAGAAAAGATGTTACTGCACCTATCAGAATGGCTAAAATAAAAAGTTGAGACGACATCATATGCACTCAATCATGCAAAGGAATGGGATCAGGGTTCTGTGTCTGGGGGGAATGTGAAGGAGTACAGCCACTTGGGAAAAGAGTACGGCAGCTTCTTATTAAATTAGGAATGTGCTTCCATAACAACCCCAAAGCTTTACCCTTGAACATTTATCCCAGGGAAATGAAAACTCACGTCCACACAAAAACCTGTGTGTGAATGTTCACAGTCACTTTATTTTTAATAGCCAAAAACTGGAACCAATCTGATTAACCGAACTGTGGTCTATCCCAGCTGTGGAATACCACTGAGTAGTACAAAGGAGCGAACTACTGATACACACACCTTGGAAGGATCTCAAGGGACTTCCGTTAGGGGAAGAAGCCCAAACTCGAGAGGCGAACCACCACGAGACTCCATTTACCCGGCGCCCCTGAGATGACAAAATTGCCAAGTGTGGGGCCGGCCAGCGGTGGCTGGGGGCTGGGGAAGGGAGAAGGGGAGGACAGCGACCACAGGAAGCCCACAGCGACCACAGGAGACCAGCACGGTGGTCCCTGCGCCACGCCGCTCTGCATCCTGACCGTGGAAGAGGCCGCCTGACGTTGCACAGACGTACGCGCGTGCGCACAAGTACGAGGCAAGCTAGGGGAGTTCGAGCAAGGGCGGGGGGCCGCTGCCGCGCCGATGTCCTGGCTGTGCCATTTAGCACAGTGATGGCAGATTTTACTGTGGGGGGGACGGGCAAAGGCTGCCTGAGACCGCATTTCTCACAAATGCGTGTGAATCTGTAATCACCGCAAATTAAGAAGTTTAACAAATGTAACAGACTGGTATTTCTGACAAAAACACAGGTGACCTGGCTCTAATCATGAACGATCGCAGACATCAGGTAAACTCCAAATGAAAACAGGGGGCCCGTAACTCTTTGAAAGACATGAAACAATGTCATGAAACAGAAAAAGAAACATGACAAGTGCACGCAACACATAAACTGATCGAATAATCTAGGGTTTCCTCTGCTACAAAGGACATTACTAAGATAATTTTACAAAACTTAGAAAAGATCTATAGATCAGATCATGGTATTATATTAGAATAGACATAATAAAGTATTTAAGGATAAAGGGATACCATATCTCAAACTTATTCTCAAATGGTTAAAAAAATATATACACACAGAAAAGGAAATATGGTAAAACGTTAACAGCTGGCAAATGTGGGTGAGGGAATACTTTATTCTTACAAGTTTTCTCTAAGTCTGAAATTCTAAATAATAAAAATTAAAATAAAAAATTTAAAGGTGTACAGGACACTGCACAGAGCCTGGTACATACATGTTCAATAAAATATTTTATACCAATTTTCAGATGAAGAAACAAGTTGAGAAGCTAGGTAAACTGGAGGAACGTGGCAAACTGGCGGTAAGGCCAGAAGCTGAACTCAGACCCTGTCTGCTGCGGAGCAAACAGAGCCTGTGCTCCTTCCGCCAGAGTGAGGAAGGGTGAAAATTCACCCCACCCCCTGGGGTTTGGATGGAATATTTAGGGAGAGGATGGTTAAACGCAAACTGGCTTCAAACCACTCTCCAAGCGAGTCGCTCCTCAGCTTCCCAGGCGGAAAGCCTAGGATCACGCAGGGACCTAAGGCCTGGGTCTCAGCTCCTGTGGAGACAGTCTGTCTGCAGTGTGTCCAACGACCAGGTAACAAACGGACTGCACCCCGTCTGCAGGGGCACGAGGCCGTGCCCTCTCCTCCCTGGGTCTTCATTCCGCCGCCCAGAGCCCACTGAGGGCGCCAGCCGGCCGGGCCGCAGGGCTTCAGCTCTTCTGCTGGCCCTGGGTCTCCCAGCATTGCTGCACGGCTGTGCTTAGACACGACAATTTATTTTCAATGGACTTACTTTTTCTGAATAGATAGTACCTAATTCAAAGTTCTCATGGAACAAAATGGTGTGCAGTGAAGTCTCCCCCATGCCCCAGTCCCTCCCACTGATGACCAGCGTTACCAGTTTACAAATGCAGCTTTCTGTCTTTCTTCTATAGAGTTACCAGAATTAGCTCGATCATACGATGGTAGTAAGCTAACCATCTACTTAGAATACTCCCAAGTGACCACTATAATTTAGTAATTTCCCCACGTAGGCATTTAAAATATCCTTAAAGTACTTGTGTAGATATGTTTTCAACATTAAAATTACTGAAAGTTAAAACTTTTTGTAAAATGAAAATATCTTTGTATGACGCATGGTCCCGACAGAGGTCGGTGCTCCGTGGGCGGCGAGCACCAGCCACCAGAGCACCGGCAGCTCACCTGGTTCCTGTCGCGTGCACTTGTGTATCTGATCTTCTGAATGAAGTAGAATATGAGCCACGCCGAAGAAATGATCATCAGAACAATGAAGGATATTGACACGAAGACTAGAGAGCCTCGGCTGAAGTTCTTTGGCGGCATTCGAGCTCCAACAGCTATTGTCATTTGTACAGAGATGTTTTTCTCCAGATAACTCAAAATATCTTTACCCCTCAGTTCTGTTATCATGACAGCAATAATATCTCCAGTGCCTGTAATGTAAAATAAATATATATACTCAAGTGACATTTAAAACTTATGGGAACATCAACTATTAAAAAAAAACGCTTAGAAAAACTATATTACAACTTCTGTTAAAGGTGTGCGCTTGCAGATTCAACTTTTTAAATGAGATGAAGCTGCAGGTGGGCACGCTGGTGTCAGGCAGGAGCAGGCATCTGTGGCGTGGCTCTTAAGACAGAGCATAAAATAGTTGTCATGTTAAGAGCCATTAGTAACTTGCACTACAACAATCTTTTTAAAAATTACTAAATCCAGTCAAGTGTGAAAACAGTACAAAAACACTGTATTATGCAGCAATGAACATGTGATACAATCGTGGCAGGTTCTCTTTGTAAAACGCCTTCCATCTTCAAATGCTCTTTAGAAAGTCCCGACTCCTTAGGTAAAGGAGAAAAGTGCTGTCATGTATACACTTTTTACACCAATCATCCTTAGGAACAATCAAGGATCACCTGCTGTATACAGGCGAGCGCGAGGAGTAGCGAGGACCCAGGGAGCGCGGCTGTGCACGGGCACCGGGCCTAAGGACCCAAGTCCGGTAACTGAGTTAACAGCAGCAAAGGGCCCAACGGTGGTACCTTTTAGAGCAGCTGAAACTAACTTTGGACCTGTGTCCAGACCTGGCTGGAGGAAGCTTCCTTCTAGTTCACCTCGGAACCTGCTGGGAATCAAAACTCTTCCGGAGACAAACCCAGCCTTCACCGTTCTGGGTGATGTGGCGTCAAGACACTTCCAGCTCGAACAGCGGCCCCGCAGCCCCGCTCAGCACAGACGGCTGCCTGAGTCTAACTAGGAGGGCGGGTTTGAGCTGCACTGCTAGTCGCCTAGCACGTTCACGTTCGTTCATCGTCTCCAGACACTGCAATACACCAAGGGCAAGGGACTCTCCCAGGCAGAGCAGAAACTGCAGTCGCTCCTCCTCGTCCTCTCTCTCTTTCTCTCAAGGAAAAAGAGAAGCTGTCAGCCCCCACTCCGGCTGCCGGCTGCCGTCCGTCACCGGCTGGAGCTGCCCGGGCAGCCTGCAACTGCCACCATCTCCCTTCTTCAAAAAGTCCCAAAGACTCTGGGCGTTAGAGGAAGGAGAACAAGCTTTTCATTTTGGGAAGAGAGAATTAGAAACAACTTATTCAAATTTGAATAAGGTTTGTGCATATAAATGTAGATCACCAACACAAAATAAACAAACCCCCCAAAATTGGACCTTTCAAAGGCTTCTTCAATGAATACTACTACTAAATATGTGGTTTATATATTTAATTTGTCATATTTAACTAGAAGGACTGTCCTTGTATCATGTGCAGCCAAAAACCGCATGCAACTGAAAAGAAATTCAGTAAAGTAGATTAATGAAAAATTTAACCCGATGGAACATATACTTTTGTATTACCTTATTCAAAATTGTGCTGCCACTTTATCAGAATAGCAATTTATCAGGATACTGATTAAAAACCCCAAAACAAACACTGTAAATTTAAAGCAAGCAACAAAGTTAATGTCTAATTATCTTTCTGAAATAAAAGTTCTGATCATGAAGTTAGAGAAAATCCTAGCGTCATGCTAACCCACTTTAAACTTCCATTAAGAGGCCTTAGGCGTGAGCTTTCAGTGCTGTCCAACAGGCAGTGGCGAGTGGCATGAGGTGCCAGGCGTGGCTATAAAGTAACTGAGACGGATCCCACACTCGACACATGACAATCAGTCTCATTGCTTTATAATCACACCAGGCACAAACGTGGGTTTAGAAAGCCGTCTGCGGCTCCCTCTTGAAGACCAAGCTGGAAAAGGAACAGGGACAGCTGCACGGGTGGCCGGGGGACCAGCCTCTGCCATCTCATTCACTCAGAGAACGCTAAGTGCGCGCCGCCTAACTTCAGCTGGAAAGCTGTGTGGGAAAAGAAGTGTTTAATTCCATTCAGCAGCATTTATTGAGCACGTACTATGATCAAGTTCCTGAATGCTCACCTTTCAAAGAGAGTAGAAAATTACCTGCTATTTAGTAAAAAAACATATTTGTCTCTGCCCCTGGCTCCTGGCACAGGGCTCCAAACTCCCTCGGCATTTCCTGGGCAATCGGAGAGTTTTTGGTTCTAACGAGGCCTCTCCTGGCAGCTCCTGGGTGGCCTGCGCGTGGCAGGTGGTCACCAGAAGCTTGCGCCCCCACCCACCCTGCGCGCTCCAGGGCGGGAAGCGGGGCTGGGGGCTGAGTCGGCGCCGGCCGGGTCTGGAGAGCTGCCTGGCTGCTGGGGGTGGTGAGCGCACGGAGGTGCCGGGAGGGTGGGTGCCAGAGAGCCCCCTCCTCGACCCTTGTCCTGTGTCAGCGTTCATCTGGCAGTTTATCTGTCCTTTAATATATCCTTTCTAATAAACCAGTAAATGTAATTCCCTCAATTCTGTGAGCCATTCTAACAAGTTTCTGAACCTGAGCAGGGGGTTGTGGAAACCTTGATTTACGGCCAGTTGGTCAGAAGCACAGGTGACAACCCAGGACAGGGGAGGGCTTATGGAGGCGCCCGGGGGCGGGCGGGTGGAGGAGCCCTTAGCCTGGAGGAGCTGAGGCTGACTCCACGTCGTGTCCGAATCCAGCTGAATAAGAGGACACCCAGCTGACACCCCTGAGAACCACTTGGGACTGAGAAAAACCCCCACACATTTGGTGACCGGAAGAGCCAGAAGTGAAGTGCTCCCAGTGAGTAGTGGTGCAGACACACAGGAGTACTTTGTCCTGTGCACTTGCTCTTGATCGCATGGAAACTATACCCTCCAAGGGAAAAGGGACTCTTACAGGTGTCAGCGTAGGCAGGTGGACAGTAATAAAGGAAGAGAGCAAAGGGACTCAGACATCAACACACCTCACCTACCAGGGAGCTAAGACAGACATGAAGCCCACTTCATCGGGGGTCACAGCTTCACACACGCGGAGGGGCATGGAAGGGCGTAACTGGCCAGCAGCAGACACAGTCGAGGGGGGAAGAGAAACAGTAGGAGAAGTTCCCTGGCTGGGTGTTTGTGCAGCAGAAGCCAAGATGGAGATCATAAAGGGAAGCAGTCTAACCTGGGAAAAAGACTGGGCTGGTTAGGCGGCGGGCCCAGCAGAAGCCTGGGACAGACGGGGGATCTGATGGGCTAGTTTGAGGGAGCACTGGTCCTTCCCAAGCCCAAGACGGACGGCACCATCAGGACCCTCACCCAGGCACCCGTGCTCACCTGCTCTCCCTCTGCGGCAGCCGTGCGGGCCTCGCAGCCGCAGGCCAGCCTGGGTGTTGGACATGGCGACGTAGCACCGGCTGGAACACGGCCGGGAACGGAGACCACGCTGGCCGGGCAGGGACAGAGACCAGATGGGAGGAACTGATGGCAGAGAATTTCTGGATCCGGCCCTCCTTCTGGGCTTGGCGAAGACGAGGCCGGGCGTCCCCCGCAGTGGGACCACAGAGAGAAGACCCCAGGAGTGTGGTGGGGGAGGCCTTTTCTTTCTTTCCCAATAAATCTCACCACTGTAGCTCACCTTCCCATACACGGGTCCCCCAAATGCTTTTCCTGTGCCTCTGTGACAGGACCCCATTTCCACTGGGACCAGAGGGCCCACAGGGAGTAGCCGGACTGAAGCAGCCTCACGGTGCCAGGACACAGGAGGAGACTGGGCGGAGTGACAGGGAAGGAGACTAAGAACTCTGCAGGGCAAGCAAAATGAAAATAATCCTAGCAGATCCTCTGATTACAAGGGAAGGCACTGCGTTCTTATCATTTCAGTCATGAACCCCCCCAAAACCTGACAACAGGGGACCCCTTTTAGAAGAGAAGCCCCCCAACTGTACTAATTTCAGGGAAGGTCTGTGGACCTCCCCACTCCGCACATCTGATGTCAATCTGGCCTCCAAGGCCCCAATTTAAGGTTGCCATGGACACCTGACTTTTAAAGATTCGCAAAGACCTGGCCCAGTGTGTGGGGGGACATAATGCCAGAGAAAACATAAGCTTCAGGAAAAAACTCGGGTCTGACCAAGCAGTGGCTGACAGGTGTTGCGTACGGAACAATCAGACTGTACTGGTGTCAACAGTGAAGGAGCTGGGCCCGCGTCCGCACGGCCACCCCACTCTCACACCCCTGCCAGCGAGTCGCGGAGGCGGCCCAGCGTCCCGGGCGTCCCGAGCCCGCAACCAACGCGAATTTACCAGAGATGACAACCGAGCAGAAACCTAGCTGTGGTCCCCCCTGTCATTCACCTTGAAAACGTCCCCCTATTCTTCTTCTCTGTGAATCTGTGCTGCCGCTGCTGCTGCACGCTGGCTGCTTTCACACACTGTTCAGTTCTTTCCCCCTTTGAGAATTTTCAAATCCACAAAACAGTTTCAATACCACGTGAACAGGCACGCACTTTTTACTTAGATTTGTCAACTGGCAACAGTTTACCTTTTCGACAGGGTCTGGCAGAAGTAACGCCTGCTTGAGTGTGGTTGGTAGGGTAATAATACGGGTGTAATAATTTAGTCTTAATTTGAACGTTTCACCTAAAATGTCATGTGATGTGCTTGAGTGTGCTACTGTTGTTGCAGAATTACAAGCTTATGATTTTGTAATAAGAGATTTTATAATAAAAAAGGGTGTTATTTCTGCTGGACCCTATATATTTATTTTTGTTGAACCCATTGAGAGTAAGTTGCAAACATCATGACATTTCCTCCTTAAATACTTCTGCTTATCTTCTAAGAACAAGGACATAATTCATTTATCACAGTCAAAAAAACGACCTCCGGTACCACCCTGCTCTGAGATACAGCCCCCTTTCAGACATGCCTGCTCCGCCCCAGCACGGCCTCCCAGGGCTGCGCAGCGCAGCAGTGCGTGCTTGGCTGTCTGGCCGGTCCTCTGGATCTTACGCAGGTCCTCAGTCATTTCTGGTTGCTCATGACCTTGACCTTTTTGAAGCGTTCAGGCCATGTTGAGAAACTGTCCCTCGCTCTGGATCTC